GCAATGCACGACACACAACGCACCATGCGCAATGCACCATGCAGTAGCGAGCCGTGCGACGCGAATCTGACCAAGCGTGCCTGGCCCTTGTCGGTAGTGACCGGAAAGCATGCAAAACGACGGCCCAGCCGCATGATGCCACTCCGCGTGACACCAATCTCGCCAATCGCGTTGACACCCACCTGACGCATCCCGACGCTAGTCGACCACAAGAGACCACGGACCCAGCCGCGCGACACCAATCTGGCCAAGCACATGACCTTGTCCCGCATGATCCGAAACCATCACGACTCCGCGTGACACCATCAGAGCGCTTGCCCCACCAGCATGCGCCTTCTACGCGTGCATTAGCCTCCGCGATGCGTGCAACACCGGAAAAATAGGGCAGGCGTCAAAGGATCAAGGATGGTCCTGCTCACCACCCTTGGCCTGAGCGAGGCGATGCACGCAGGCACGAGCATACCACACGCGCACGACGCACAATCATGCGCGGGCTGCGCGCGTGCGGCGAGCGAGCTGCGGCAGACCCACCAGCGCTTGGAGGAACTCCTCGTTGAGCATGCCTGGACTTTGCCAAAACCAAGGGCATCACCACGGGCCAACCATGCACTGCGCACAGTGCCACCATTTGACATTGCAGCAGGCAATGCCCAGGCCCATGATGACGCCGTGTGGCAGATCTTGCAGGCCTGCCTTGGCGGGGCCGCGTCAGGCGAAGTGGACGGGCCCTGGCGACTCTCCCAGCATCGCAAGGCGGGCTGGCGTGGGCTGATGCACTCCCTGGCCTTGGCGAGCGCGCCCTGGCTTTAGCCGAGGCCTGCGTCCACCAGCTGAGACGTGCCCGTCGCGTGCTCGCAAGCCGGGGGTACGTCTGGCGATATCTGGCGCCGTTTGCGGTGAGCGGTGGCTTGTCGGCGCCCGGTGTAACCGGACTGATGAAAGTGGCGTCAAGGAGCTGCGGAAAGCCGCGCTGCCCACGCAGCAAACCTGGAACAGCGAGCCTCGAGGACAACAAGCGAAGCGGCCCACGCAGCCCACTACAGCAGGCAGCGACCTGCCTAAGCGACGATGGCCCGTGCGCATCCTTGGCCGGCTCACCGAGACAAGCATGTAACGTGCTCCACACAGCCGTATCGTGCGCCACGGCATGCGCGCATGCGGCACCGTTCGCGAGGCGCGTCAGGCAGGGGGGGTGGGGGGCTGCAAAAATAGCTCTTCCTCCTGCGCCACGCGATCCTGCCCCCACGCCTCGATGAACCACTGATGAACCGGGGCGTCCGCCCAACGAACTCCACGCTCAGACACTGGCTTATCCCCACTCCACGCATCCTCGCTAAGGTCGCGAGTTCCCGGCAGCGCTGGCCCCCGAAAAGTTGAACACTACTCGAGTAGTATTCAGATTGGCCGCGCTCCCTGTATGGGCCTCAACAGATGGCGTTACCGCATCGAAGGCCGCCCCGGACCAGTAGGTAAAGGTCTGCAAGAATGCAAGGAGCACCTCACCATCTCGAAGCCGCCCAGCCGCGTGCTGCAGCCCCTCATGTTGTCCAAGACGCGGGCTCCGACGGGTCCCCTTGCTCGCATCCCTCGCCCGTCCCGCCAACCGTATAATCCGATGCTTGACCGTAAAATAGCCGGGCGAAGGGCACGAGGGCGGGCGCAACTTCACGTTTGCGCTTTTTTAGTCATGCACGCGGCGGCAGTGTCGACCGTGGCCATCGTACCCCGCCTCCGGCCTGCTTTCTCCGAAGGTACTCAATCATGTCTCGAGCCATGTCCCGTCCCAGACATTCTGCTCTTAGCCAACCGCGCGGTGGCTCGGCCGCGGGTAGGCATCTTCGTCTGACGTTAGACGACCCCGCCGACCCCACCTGGCTCCAACAAGCAGGATGCACATGATGCACTTCGGTTCGCTATCCGAGCACGCCACAGCACGATAGTCTTGCGCAGGGGAAGGTGCCCACGAACCAAGGCGCCTCTTGGCGTCGGATTTGTCGCCTCACCACACATCGTCCCATCGTTCCGCTATCTTGCCGAGGTTGGAGGCGACGGGTGTGTGGTCTGCCACAGCGCGCTCTATCTCTTCCCTGGATTCAATGGTACTCGCGGAATTTGCCGAGAAAAGGCCGCCCGCGACAACCTGCGGCCGTCCAGCCACCAACACAACGCCGGGGCGCGTGTGAGCTGCGAGGGCTTCCGGAAAAGCCGCGCAGCGCGGTCAAACTTGTCGTTCGAGGATTCGTCTCTTTCTCGGCACACATGGCAAGCGTTTTGGAGACCAAGCGACGGAAGGGGTCTCCCGTGGCGATTCTGCGCACGGCGGGTTTGTGCAAGGCGGTGAGGCGAGCCATGGCGAACGCCGTGCGCACGTCAGCAGGGACGCAAGCCTGCGCAAGGAGCGTGGAAGTTTTCGCCACTGGCCAACTCCATGGCCTCGCCGTCTTGAAGACGAGCTTGAGTTGTTCCGCTCGAATGCCTGAAAGACCGGGTGTGCCTCCCCAACGCGCCGGAACGGAAGGCTCTCCTGGTGAGGCGCTGACGTACACGCGACCATTCGCCGTGGCACTTTCGTTCAAGCTTGGCACCGCTTCCTTTCGGCGACTTCGTCGGGGCGGGACAGTTCTGGCTGTCGGGGCCAATCTTGCCTCCGCCTGCAACGTTGCCTGGGCGCAGCTGGTGCTGGACGTCAGGTTCTCCCTCGACTGTCACGGTCTCTGGAGGCAGTTAAACGCAAACCATCGCCAAAGTCACTGCCAAACGTGAGACGGCAAGAAGTCCAGCAACTCCATGTGGTAGTCTCGCGGTCGAACGCAACCTCTCTTGGATGGCATTTGCAATGAGCAGTAGCCTCTGCACGCTGGCTGTGATTGTGAGGCCGAAGCAACTTCCGGTTCGGGAGGTGGCAAAGAAGAACAAGACAACTCAAACAGCTCCAGGCCCGCCAGTGTTGCCATGAGGTCTTTGGCAGGCACACACACAATGAGCACACGGGCATGGCTGCCCACTGTTGCTGCGACCGACAAGTAGAAGGCCCTGTATGGCCCTGTCATGGTCACGACCAGAGGATGTGGACTGCGTGCATGCGAAGGCCAAGCTGGCCGGGGCGCGAAGTGACTTGCGGCCTGTCCTTTTCCGGGCTGTAATGGGTTGTTAAGGTTGTAGGGCACGCTTCTCAGCAGGGCGTGGACTCTAGCCAAGCTGCCCTTGCACCGGTAGGCAATGATGGTGCTCTTGAGCTCGCAACATGGAACGTTTTCAACACAAATCGCATCCTTTTCAACGCCCCGGCACGTGAGGACGTTTCGCTCTTGTCGGGTCACGTCCCACGAGTCTGAGCCGAGCAGGGTAGCTCATGGTGGCCCTGGAGTGGAACGGCATATAGTGGCAGCCTGAGGCTGACTCTTTCAATGCACGGGGCCAGTATCTTCACGTTGTCCCAACAGCTCCAGAACTTTTGATGTCCGCATCACCAGTCGCGGCAAAACCGTTATGATTATAGCCGCATGGCAAGATATTCTTGCAGACATTTTCCAGGTTTGTGCGCGACTGCTAGTGCGTCAGCTGAGCATGCCTCCACAATGTTCGTGCCCGCGCCCTGGAAATTGGCCCTGCTGCTGGCATCAAGGTATATCAAGGTGAACAAGCAGCCGTAGCCTTTGTCCTCTGGGCGAAATCGCGCTTTCATTCCTTGTTGGCGTGTGCACCGATGGTGTTTCGCTCGCCCGATGCCGATGCTCCGTGTGCTGCGCTGTCGCTCGGCTTGGGTAGTTTGCAGCGTGTGGAAAGTTGATGTCCCTGCTGCGTCGTTGCGCCTCTGGCCCCATTGGGATGTATGGGGGGTGCAGGAATACTTCCTGCTGCTGCTGACCCAGAAACTCCTCGATGCACAACTTCTGCAAACAAACGAGCCCCCAAGACGACATGCTGACTGCACGCATTTTGATTGCGCTTGCGACGCACATCTGCGGCAGCGCCTCTCACGACGACAGTCGAAATCAGCCTAGGCGTTGCTGGAGACATTGAAGTCTACGTGCAACACACCAGGAGTGCCAGATCGTGTCATGCACATGGGCATGCTCAGACTGGGAAAGATGTCGGGGGGCCTGGTCGTGGCAACTTTAGCCACTTCCACGGCAGACATGCTGCCTGGGCTTCAGTGTTCTTTGGCACCGACGTTTTTTATAGAACTACACGAGTAGGGCCAGGTAGCAGGCATCACAAGGCCACAGCGTGAGCATGAGGCAAGTTTTGAGGCCAAAGCTCGACGAGGTCCATCGACAGTGAATCGCCACCTGAGGGTGCCATGATCGACTATTTGCTTAAGAACACCCCCATATAATATAGGCTATATTGCCATAAGGAAGAATATGTTGTTGTTTTGTTTTTTTTTTTTTTGGGGGGGGGGGAGGGGGGGGGAGGGGGGGGGGAGGGGGGGGGGAGGGGCTCTTAAGCAATTGGTAGTGATGTGCCATGTGCTGAGTCTCTTGGGTCTGCATCAAACAGGCGAACACAGAGGTCGGACGAGGTCGCATGAGGTCGCCAAGTGCTCAGGCCATGGCAACTGCTGCACCGTGCCGTCAGTCCCTCTTTGGGGGGACTCTGCATCGGGCTCGGCGTGCCTGATACAGGCAAGCAGTGGCAACAAGGGCAAATGGGCAAATTGCATGCGCAGTGCAAACCGATTGAGCCTCGGCTAATTGGGCTGTTCGGCCCAGTCCCAGGGCACGCTTTCGAGTGCTGCTCGATTGCCGCTATCTGTCGGAGGCTGCGCACTGACAGATTATCACGTCCTCAAAGGCAAAGATTGCAAACGACTCCCCACAACTGAAACAGGAAACATGCGTGCGACACGTCGAGCGGAAGGCGCAGCCCGCAGTAGCCGCACCTGCAGGATCTTCACAAACAATTTTCATCGTCGGCAACGGGCATTTTTTCGGGAACGTCGGGCCGCGCCTCGCCACTCCCAGGGATTCCAGCATCTCCTCCCAGTCATCGCTTTCGGCCTTGTCCTCTGAACAACTGGCAAATACAAGCTCACGAGGAACCACAAGCAGTGTAAGGGAGGGCTGAGGGGGGGAGTAAAGGCCCCATATTCCCTTGTTAAAGCTCGCTGAAGGCCTCTTTTCGCGTTCAGGCATGAACCTTGTTTGGGAAATGAAGGCTCCCTTCCACCAGCCTGCTTCCTTATAACCAACATATTCTCACCTGCAGTGCCGCCTCTTCACATCATGCCACATCATTGCGCACTGCGTCGCTGTGTGCCACCAGCGATCCTGTTGGCTTTGGCTCTCCACGACTTCGTCCTCATTGCCCTCGTTGTTTCGAAGACCAATTGGCTCCTGTCCGTCAGGACCGCGGGATGCGACTCGTACGAGTACATGAAATTCGAGCACTGCACGAGCCATCATCGTCGTCGTAGCAGTAGTTACCGTCGTAGTAGTAATCGTACTAGTACCAGGAGTTCAGCAGTAGCAGTAGTGGTGGTGGTGGTGGTGGCGGTGGCGGCGGAGGTGGTGGTCGTAGTAGTAGTAGTAGTAGTAGTAGTAGTAGTAGTAGTAGTAGTAGTCGTAGTCGTAGTCGTAGTCGTAGTAGTAATAGTAGTAGTAGTAGTAGTAGTAGTAGTAGTAGTAGTAGTAGCACTACTACTACTACTACTACTACTACTACTACTACGACGACGACGACGACGACGACGACGACGACGACGACCACGACGACCACAACAACAACAACAACAACAACAACAACAACAACAACAACAACAACAACAACAACAACAACAACAACAACAACCACAACCACAACCACGACCACGACGACGACGACGACGACGACGACGACTACCACTACTGCTAGTAGCAGCAGCAGGAGGAGGAGTAGTAGTAGTAGTAGTGGTAATGGTAGTGGTAGTGGTAGTAGTCGTCGTAGTAGTAGTAAGTATAAGTAGTAGTAGTAGTAGTAGTAGTAGTAGTAGTAGTAGTAGTAGTAGTAGTAGTAGTACTAGTAGTAGTAGTAGTAGTAGTAGTAGTAGTAGTAGTAGTAGTAGTAGTAGGAGTAAGTTGGCTTTTGAGCGTCGACCTCCGCAACATCACGGGTCTAGCCCTCCCACAGTACCGTTGCCGAGGCTGCCTCGCGTTCGCGGTTAAGTTCAAGCAGCAAAAGCCCGCATAATGGCCGAAAAAAGAGTCCGTCAGCTTTGCAGTGCAATGAGGCTTGCTGCAAAAAGTGCCGGGTGAGCGTGGTTTGGGGATGTCTGGGGTCGGCACATCGGGGTGGTTGCCTCTTATTCCTTGAGTGAGCTTCTAGCTGAACCGATCTCCCTCCCTCCCTCCCTCCATTCGATCGAAGGGCCAATGATAATGATGCCCATGTCAGGGACCCAACGAAGCATGATGCAATTATGCAAATGCAAAGCTCAGGCAGTCTCGGAGAGCCTGATCCAAGTCGAAGAACTTTGGGATAGCACTTTCCAACGCACGGCCTCTTCCAAGCAAAATCTGCTCTGAAATCTGTTCGAGGCGGGCTCACTGAACAGATCGCCAAGGACTTCAATATGTTGAAGGAACCTGCCTTGGACAAAGTCCTCCACAGACGGGAGTTCTGTCCGAACTTTCGTGCGCTTGGCCTGCTGCATGATGGCCGGTGCGATTGACAGTCAAATAGCACCAGCTAATGAGACTGCGTCAACCAGCTTTCTGTTTTTGCCGCTTGCAGCTGGCGCTCGCAGAACAAAAAACAACATCGGAGAGCTTTGAGCCTCATCTGCGTGCTTGCTGCTGACAAACGATATACTTCGAATCTACTTTGCATCGCACACTTGGAGGTTCAGGTTAATTACAAGCCTCATTGTAACTGTGCTGATAGGCCCCTAAGTCCTCGAAGTAGCTTCTAAGTGGACCTATAATTGGGGTTACTAAGTAGCCATGAACCTCCAAGCTGCGGTCGTGTTGATAGTGTTGGCCCTTGTTGGGTATCCTCGGCATCCTCTTCAGTTGTCTTGATCTCTTGATTCAAATAGCACAACGAACAGAATTATTGGTGGTTGTCAACATGATGGTCCCTTTTTGGATCCCTATTATAATATGGCACCTTCTGTTTAGTTTACCCCAAAAGGGATCACCCATATGAACTCCCCGATGAGAGTTGATGCTCCAGTTGATGCTCCAGTTGATCCAGCGCACACGCTTCAGCATGGCATCCTAGTATTGTAAGCGCGTCGAGATCTGCTTTGGAGGCGTTCCGGCCTGATCCATCTGTGTCTTCGACAAAATTCGCCCAACGTTCTCAGCTCCCACTGGCCGCGTACAGTTCATGTGAGCGACTGTCTTCTCGGCACGATCCATGGCTGCGACACAAGCCAAGATAAAGACATCAAAGTTGGCGGAAAGGCTCCAGGGGCAGTTTCATTTCTGTGTCTCTGTTATTCCCTGTTCTCTCCGGTTCTCTCCATCCCTTCTGTAAGCTCCGCACCAACTCATGTGTCAGCCAGCTTTCTTTTTGCTGCAGCGCCTGAGGTCATGATGATTGGTCTCAAGGACTCCCGTATAACTTGCGAGCTGCGTGTGGTGGCAAGTGGAAAGCGACACAGCAGTTTAACGCAAAACGAGCTGGGCTGATACTGCCCTGTCAATCGCTCTGAGCAAACTAAAACTACCCTAAACCCTAAACCCTAAACCCTTAGTGCTTTACAACCCAACAGGAAAAAATCATTCGAAACAGCTGCAGCAAGCCGACTGCCTCCAGACTCGCTTCCACCAGACGGACCTCCGACCGAAGTTGCCGCAGCTTTACTTGAAAGGCCTCTCGCACTGTAGGAGCTTGCCGGGATCTGAGGCCGGGTGGGGGCCAGGGTGCAGGGCTCCAACTGCTGTCCCAAGCACATGGCCTCCCCCCCCCCACCCTGCCCATGCCCACCAACCTCAAGCATCTTCCACCAGCTGGAGGCAACAACTTTTACCACCGGGCCTGCTTGTCTGCCACAGTCTCGTATAACTCCTGCTCGAGCGCATCCGGCTGGGACATGCAGCCACATTCGCATGGGAGCCCTGTCAGATTATGCAGACGTTGCTGGTCGGTTTCAGGGTTAACGGTTCAAGCAACTGCTACACATAGCTACAGGAATTTTTATCATAGTTAACAGCTTGGAACTCTGTGTGGGCAAGCTTGGGCCAAGCCCTGCACCGCGGCTTCACGACACAGGCATGGTATCGGTGCTGCAGCAAGCTTCACAACAGCACGACACAACCCCGCACGCGCCAGAATTTCTTTCTCGACGACCGCGGCTCGAGCGCCGTACCACACCTTTTCGACCAACCCGGCCAGCCTGCCAAGCACTTGAGAGCAGGGCGGACGAAAGCTGGGAGGTGGGGGGGCTGGGACCCCGTTGCAAGCCACTCCTGCCTTCGAGCGCTTGCGGCACTTGTGGTCGAGATCGAGCCTCCCAAATTGGGCACGCAAAACACATCAAAACACCCCCTAAACCCTAAACCCTAAACCCCTGTTCAGCTGCAAGCCGCCACCCTGACCACAGGTCGCAAAGGTCTTCGCCTCTCCGATCCTGTAAAGTGAAAACCAGGATTTCCAGGTGCCGCACTGTTGGCGTGGTTCTGGAAATAGGCGCTCGTAGGGCCAGCGCGGCCTGGTGCTTCAGCCACATCTGCAGAGCATCTGCAGTGCTTCTGCAAAACTACATTGCGAGCTGGCAGAAGCATTTCATACAACTGGCGTGGATCTCAACTCGAGATCCTCCAAAGCCACAAAAAAAATCGTGCACAAAGAATCGCCGAGCTGAGCGCTCCACAGATCCGAGCAGTTGTTCTTGGTGCCTCCAGCATCCCTTAGACTAACAGAATGGTACCTGGGCTTCTGTGCAAATATCTGTCGCTTCATGGCTTCATGTCGCATATGGGGCATTATGGGGCACAAGATCAAGCACAACGATGGCTGGGAGGGGCACATCGCCGTGGCGGCATAGCTGAAAGTAGAGCCCCCAGTGGGAACGACAGTCACGTTGCAACTTCCGAGGAGTAGCATGTCCTGCAAACTCCGACATGTGACCCCTGTGTGCCGAGCCTTCTCTCAGCACCTCTTACAGCGATGGTCGGATGCCTGATATCCCCACACGTCATCCTTCTGGCCCTTGACTTGCCTGCCATTCGCGATTCAACACGTGGCATTTGCGATAGCCATGTCATATGCCAGCAGCTGGGAGCACATGTCCCAGGAGGGCCAGGTCACCAGCACCTTCAAAACGTTTGTTCTGCAAATTCCTGGATTTGTTCAGAGGGTCTTGGGCTGAAGTGGACCGAGAGCTGCGCGCCCCGCGGCTCGTAAGCAGCTCGAACCTGCCAAGGGGGCAAAGGTGCCGAGACCTAGCAAAAGCAAACCACGATCAGCGTCAACCACTGCCTTGCGCCGAAAGCTGTGCTTCATTGAGGCGACGTGCATAACCTCAAGCTGATGGATCAAGCGTTTGAACGCAACCTCTTTGCCAGTTTGTCATCTGCTGACTCTTTGTGGTCTAAACGAAGTATATAAACCTATATGAACCTATGTAAACCTATATAAACCTATATGAACCGATATCAAACCTATTATATAAACCTATATAAACCTAACGACGCCCTAAACCGTTGGACTCCCTGAACCCCAACATTAAAGCATGTCAACGTCTCACCATCTGCACATTTCCTGACTCAAAAACTCGAGTCCCCTAAGTCTCCTAAGCACGCCAAATGCACGGTGCACACGCCAAGACTGCCAGCCTAGTGATGCCGAAGCTGTACTGGTAGTATCGGCAGATTTTGTCGCCACGACGCGCCCAAGGGTCAAAAGGAAAGGGCCAGGGGCCAAGGGCCAAGCCCCCACACGCTCCCCGATGTAACGGCTCTTTCCGACCCCCGGCTTCAAAACCTCACATAGCCCCCAAGTATGCCAAGTGATGCCAAGTGCCATTGATTTTCAACATTTTTCAATCGGTTGCGACAGGCTCACGCAATGAACACGGGGTCCCGGGCCGTTTTTCCCTTCGGCCACCAGGGGGCAGCCTTGAAATCTGGCTTGAGTCCGCCGTACGCCGAGGACGTCCGAGGACCAGGCCATCATCTGGTCCATGCCTGAGTGCAAACCGGCAAACCCGAAGGATGGCTCAGTTACCACAGATTCCAAGAATTAGGTCCTGCCCAATGAATGCATTTGCGCCACAGCGATACAAAAACCAACCCGTGAAAGAACCACCTGCAAGGCACTGAGAGACGATGAGAGTCGGCCAGAACCCAAGGCCCTAGAAACGGGGGCTGTTATCGGGCTGCAATGGTGAACCACCTTTGTGCACCGGACCCCTCAGTCGGCAATCCCATAATGTTACTGCCCCTGTACATCAATGCACACCATCGGCTGTGTGGTCCACAGTCCCTGGTGCCTGAGGTCAGCGTACGGTTTTTCCGTTGCAAAAGCACGTTACATGGCATCACCCCTTTGTTCCCCAAATTTACCTACTGGCGCGAGAACTTGCGCCGGGATGCACCGGGCTTGTGCTGAAATTGGTTGTGAGAACATTGTGCCGCGGCTTTTGGTGGATTGATTCCCTCGGGCGAGAGTCAAGTGCTCCCCCCCCCCCCCACCCCCGCCCTTCGACGGTCCCCTGAGCTTTTCTGCAGAAGCAGAGACAGAGCGCAGGGAGCCAAAACAACAGTAAGCATTCGTTCTTGGATCAGGCAGCCCGTTTGACATGTCACCTCAACCAATCTCCGTGTACTCAGGCTGCAGCATCTCTTGGCGTCTCGGAATTCTCTGCTGTTGCCCCAACCTGCAAGGCTCGCTTTCATGGGATGGTGAAGGTGGCCACGTAACTTTCCTCAATGCCGAGGACATCGCGCCCTTGCACGCAGATCGAGACATCACCGGACCTCAGGGGGACGTCACATCGGGGCCATTGCAGACAGATACCCCGGTGCCAGGGCCAGTGCTTCCGCATGCCCTCTAAGTAGCCTTGCGTCTCCTCGCACGGAAAACTCTGGCAGCACTTGAACTTGGCATCCGTTCCGCCACCGGCCTTGCGGATGGCTGCAGCTGGTGGGAACAGCCAGCGCCTCGGATCATGGGCACACAGGAAAAGGGTAAGGGTCTGCATTGAGTCTGCACTCTGCGTGTTTGAGAAGTTCTTGGAATTGACTTGGCGATGGGCACCACAGGGCCATACGTGTCCAGAATGACCTTATGCTCGCAGGACAGGGACTATCTCAGTGAGGCGGCAGTTGGCTGCTAAGCCCACAGCTCTCTCCCGCTGACCATGGCCCACAAGATTCCGCTGGAAGGCTTGCTGCATGATGGGATGGAAGTCTGGATTCTCCAACAGGACGTTGCCCACCCACACTCCGGAAAGCATCAGCAAGATTGGCTTGTCCGTGATTTGTTTGTGACGGAGCTTCTCGTACTTGCAGCCTTTCCAGTCGATGGCCAGAACCTCGACGGACCTGCTCTTATGCTTTGAGCGCGGGTTGGTCGCCATGGCTTCCAGGATTTTCTCGGCCTCGCCCAGCACTTGTGCAGGATGCTCTGCCCACTCGCACAGAGGAGAGTCCATCCATGTACAGACGCCATGCATTGATGCCGGAATCCATGCGAACGCTCGCCCTGTCAACCCGGCCACCAGGAATGCGGAAGACAGCCCAGCCATCCAGTTTCCCAAGCCTATGGAAGCTGAGAAAACCACCCACTTCACTGAATCGGGCTTGGCCATACCTTGCGCCTGAACGGACAGCATCTGTTGCCGAAAGTGTGCAAAACCTGGCGGGTCAGAGATTTCCTCTCTGAGGAACCAAGGTTTCAAATCTGCAGCTTTTTCAACCAAGAAATCTGCCGCGGCATCCGCCGCTGTGGGTGTCGTGTTCAAGGACTCGGTGGATTCCTCCAATTCCTCCTCCATAGCATCAGCGGCATCATCATCATCGCCAACTGCCGCCGCCCCGTTGCTGCCTTCCTGGTCCTCGGAAGACTCCGGCGACTCTTCTACACCCTCTTCGGTCTCCGTGGAATTCTCCGCCACCGCCGTCTCCCAGTGTCCGATGTGTCGTGGCCACGCTGCCGGGCTTGAAAGCACAAAGCCAGTCTGCCATAGATGCAAGATGCCTCGTCTCAGGAGCATCGCAACACCGTGAAACAGGATGAAACCCCAAAACCCCACAAACTCTCTATATAACTACTCTGTCTATTCTTGTACAGGGTTGTGTGGTTGTTTCGCTGCCGCTCGCCCACCTCTGCCTCTTCCAAGAAACACTCCATCCCCTGTCCTTTGGCTCAGGTAAGAAGGTATTACTGCACGCCCGTGTCCAACCAGAAACAGCAGCACGCCATGAGTTGAAAACCCCCGTCTCACTAGGCATGCCGTAGGATAGGGCATGAGGGTTTACGAAATAAGGGAGCCCAAATATAGACCCCAAATAGTAGGATTCCCGTACAGTAAGGACCCTAGTCAAGTACCCCGAATATCGGAAACCCCCGTATCACACGAGGAGGCTGCTGTCCGAGCCAGGCTCCAAAAATTGATTGCCATGGTTCAGGCAAGACACCAAGCCCCAGGATCAAGAGCAGCACTTGCAAGCCACTGCACTTCCGCAACATTCACGGAAGCCCTGCGGCCTCAGTACAGCGAAGCCGTCTCTCAAGATCTCGAAAGCGTGCGAATCTGCCAGAATCTGGACCCTGAGGCTGGGAAGTTGGGCAACTCGTGGGAATTCAAATCAGATGTCGGATCAAGGTCCGAGTTGCATTGGCAAAGCTCCCAAGCAGTGCTTCGGGCACTCCTCATCAACTGCTTCTTGGATTGCGCCTGCCAAGACAAGCACATGCTTGCTTTCACTCCCGCGCAAAACACACACACACACACACAGAGACACACACACACACACATGCGCACACACATGCCCACCCACACCCACACTGTCACACAGTCACACACACACCCACACCCACACCCACACCCACACCCACACCCACACACCCAGACACACGCACGCACGACCCACGCTCGCACGCTGGCTTAGCTGCTTGTTTGCTTGCTTACCTACACGCTGGCATCTCGATGCCCCGCTGAGAAAGGGACCTGCACGAGAAACTCAGCATGCCGGCACCATGCTTGTAGCAGCGCAGCTCCATATCAGGCAGCTAAAAGCTAACCTATGTCACTTCAATTTCTGTAGACTGCGTTACTACTTCTCACCTCATGGACAAATCTTGGGCACAGAGCTGCATAACGTGGCAAAGACAAAAAACTGTCCCAAAGCCGCAAGCGAACTGATGCATCACAGTGGAGGAGCCAAGTCCATGAAACCTGGGCCCAAACTTGCCCTACCCAAACTGTTGTCGCCTCAGACTGCAAGAGTACATGATGGCAAAGTGAATGTGCATGTTTATCCTTGTTCTTGCGCTCGGCTCGTTGAGGTACCAGCGCCGGGTCGTTAACAGACGTGGTGAAACATCCGCATCCCTCAGGCTTGCGACACTTTGGTCCTGGAGATCTTGAATCTTGCATGGTAACTTCGGCGGACTGGTTTTTTGTTGTCTGCCCATCAGGGGCACTCAAGAACGCTCAAGATGTTCAAGATAGCAAGTTCCCAAAAATCTCTCCTCCGCTTGGGTTCACGTCTTCGGGGTCCCGGCACATGAAGTGTGGTGGCTACCTGCCACACTCCCGCATTGAACAGCCAACGCCGCGGCAACGCTGATGTACTTGTAATTGTAAGCCCCAAAATCTCGGGGCCGGACGCACCCCACAAAGAAAACCAAGGATCCTGCAAAAAAGGCAGCACTGACCTTAGTCAAAGATGAAAGAGCGAACAACACAAACAACTTGGAGTACTCCACTCCAAGTCTAAGCTGAATGCAATCAGGCTCCATGTCACCATTTTCTCCTGCTGCCGTGCCCTCCCCGATGCTCTGGACGCTATGGATTGGCTGGTCAGTTAGGGGGTTTCCGGATTTAGGGGGTACCTTAAGGGGATCCTACTATTTGGGGATCTATATTGGGGGCTCCCGGTCCCCCTAGTTTCGAAAACCCCCCAACTCTTGATCTGATCTGATCTCCTGCCACTTTGCCAAGTCCACGCTCATCGACTCCACCTGCCAGCGCAAGACTTCGGCAAACCTCTCGAAGTGGTGGTTTCCGCAGGGGTGGGTGCCTTGTTGGGGTCCTTATTATAAGGAATCCTACTTGGGACTTGGGTGGCCTAGGGTCCCCTATTTCCGTAAACCCCCATAGGTTGTCTAGGAACAAGCCCAGGTTAAGAAAAGCCAGCCGCCTGTTCCAGCTCCGCATCATTCTCATCGTGATGCCTGTTGCAACAGAGAAGACTCGCCTGCGTTCCTGTTTCCCCCTGTGCGTCACGTGTTCACAAACCGTCACAACCGAGCCCTAAACCCGAAACCCTAAACCCTAAACCCTAAACATTCTATAAACCCTAAACCCTTATAAACCCTAAACCCTAAACCCTCAACTCTAAACTCTGACCCCTGTGTAAGTCCGCAGCTCTTCTGAAAGTCGGCGCGGCTTCGCCGACCTGCAAAGTTCACAGAAAATTTCGTCGGAATTGTGTCTTCTTGTTTAGGGTTGAGGGTTTGGGGTTTAGGGTTTATAGGGTTTATAGGGTTTATAGGGTTTATAGGGTTTATAGGGTTTATAGGGTTTATAGGGTTTATAGGGTTTAGGGTTTAGGGCCAGTTTAGGGTTTAGGGTTTAGGGTCTTGTCATCGCCTGATACGAATGCTGCGGATGATGGCGGCTTTCTGCTGTGGCTGAAGAAGGGTGACCTCCCGCATTCAGAAGTTCCAGAGTTTGCGGGCGAATCTCATGCACATGCACATGCCTGAGCGTTGCTTGCAAGCTACATTCGGCTACTCCTGCCACGAATGCGCCTTCACACACTCCACGGCCATCACCGGCCGACTCAGGGGACAGCGCCAGAACACCTACCGTGATTCAGGCTCTCCCCTAAACCCTAAGCTACCAGTACCCAATCTATCGGAAGCGAGGGCAACATTGTCAGCCAGCAGCAGGCAGTTCAGCTTTCTGGTGGGCGCGCTGCACACCGTCAGTTGTCATGGACAAAAGCGAAGCCCAGCTAGAGTCAGCTAGAGCACGATGAAGACGTCGCACCTAGCAACCCAACGCAGACATGTCAAGCAGAGGCGGCACACGTCGTTCATGAACCTTCTTGGGACAAGATGCACAGTCAGCACGGCCACGTATATGGCATTGATGGCCATCCTTTTCCGGGAGGCAGGCAGAGGCGCCGAGTCAGCGCGCAAGTGAATCGGTGTTTCGTGTGCTTGCAAAGTTTCAAAGCAATATGCATTAGAGGGTTCGCGAAAGCCGCACAAACACGAAATGCTCGAACAGTCAAAAAAACGACAAAAAAAAACCTGCAGCACACACGCATGTCCAGTGAAGCTGGTTGGGAGAATCTGAGTGCGCAACCTTGCAGTATGTTCACACGCAGCTTCACAAAATGGAAGGTTTGTTTGCAGCTTTTCTTTTGTGCCCTTTTCGGTTGCCCAACGATAAGGAATGCCTCCCACCCCATCCCGCTGTTGCGTCAATTGATACTGCAGAACTTGTCACGAGACTGGGGCAAGCCTGCAGCGGAAAAGATGTGTCGCTTATACACACACACACACACACAACGCAAACAAAACAAACAAAAAGCAAAAACAACACGAAAAACGAAGATGGCAAAAAAACACAAGAAACCCCTCCCCAAAAACATCTATAGCACGAAAAGAACAACTGCGAGAACACAAAAAGCGTGTAGTGTTTGTAGTTTTCCTACTGTTCGCGTACTGCGCCCCCGACTCCGGCACGACTCGGGAAGGGTTGCCTCATGGGGGGTGCACATCAATGAGTGTCCAACGATCATCATTACATGCCGAGAGAACCTGTTTGCCAACAGATGCCACTTCAGATTCTGGACAGGGATGACAGATGCGATGTCTATGCCGGAGCGCGCTATCCCTGGGCTTGGGGGTTCCATGGGGTTCCCATCATTATCATCACACGACGTGAGGGTCCACGGCCAAGATTCCGAGAGCCGAAATTCACGTAGAAGAGGCTGAGTCCTGACAGCTCATCACATCTTTCATGGTCCTTCGGCATGCTTGCAGCACCTCGAAGATCTTGAAGCGTGAAGCAACTGGATTGTTAGGAAAAGCAGACATCAGCAAACGTGCAGCCAAGTCTCCGAGCTCTCGCCATGCCTTGAAGAGCGCAGTGGTCGTGTAATGCGGCGCCTGTTTTGCACTGACACACTTCGAGTTGTGTCGTTGTCAGTTGTCACAGCGGTGTTGTCACAGAACATTCTGGCCCAGCGCTGCTTGGGCCTGCATGGCCTCTCCCAACGCCGACATTCTTCCTGCTACCAGCGTGACATTGTGGACCCACCTGAGTCACTTGCAGTTAGGGGGATGAAACCTCAATCAGGACCGTCGGCGCATGCTAGGCAAAAAACATGTACCAACCCCGAGACGTACCAACCCCGACAAAGCAAGCGCCGAAGTGCTGTGTTGCCATGGAGCCGACGGCGCCAGTGGCCAAGCCAGCGATGAGGCTGCAGAAGCGATCTGCACCATGGAGGCTTATAGAAAAGGCTCTCAAAGTCTCCGCATATGTGTCAGATCCCCCTCAACACTCTAGAAGAAAAGCTAAAACCAAAACAAAAAAACAAGACCCCCAGCCTGGCCTGGCAGTCGCCTCCCATATGCCTCACTCTGTGTTCGGCGTTCGAAGACTTTGCATCGACTTGCGAACAGATCCTCTGAGGCAATGAGAGATTCTGCCCTCTCTGCCCTTGCCTCGGCCTGGCGCTGGATCTGATCACGTATCGAAGGGCCCATGCAGAGGCTGCCCCCTGTCCAGGTCCAAGAGACAGGCGAGACTGCACATCTGAGCATTCCCGACCTTGCCACGAGTGTCCGTATGTGTCCGTGCACAGCTTGCCACGAGTGTCCGTATGTGTCCGTGCACAGCTGCACATCTCCCTGAACCGGCATAACTTCCAAAAAGCCCTACGCAATAGCTTCCAGAGCGGAGTCTCAAACTGCCTGTGCTGCATCCGGCGCGCAGGAATGACCAAACGATTCCCGGCGCCACGTTCCGGCGCACGAAGCCCCAAATGCCGGGAGCCATGGGAGGCTCCAGCTTGTAGTGCCTGTAGGTATCCTGAATTTGCCGGCCAAGGGAGGCCCAAGATGTTTGAAAAAATAACAAACGGGCAGACAAGAGACAAGCGAAAAATAAGGATTCAACAGCGCAGGTTGGGGCATGGATGTGTTGGCCGTGCGAGTTCTGGAGCATGCATGCGGACATTCCTAACCAAAAGGAGAAGTTGTCGCTGCACTTTCCGAAGTCCTGGATTATCCAGTTGTACTGAAGCGACGAGCAAGGAACACCTGGGCTGCACCGGAAACATATCTAAACTTAACATGGCAGAACCTGTGCCTCACAGTGCTAGCCGCTGCATGCCGTTGCTAGCCACGCTGCCAACAACGCCACAGGCAACCATGACGGACGCAGCCGGGGGCAACACCTCTGTCAACCAACTAGGGAATGGCATCTTCAACAATGTTCGGTACATATGCTGTTCATCAACATTGAGCTCAGCGAAACAGATTTCTTCCATGTTCTGAAGTAGCGGCTTTGGCCTGTGCCCGCACCAACGATAGCTCTTAAACTACGTCATCGTCAGTGCAGCCTTGGTTTTGCTTCGGCCATCATGTGCTAATCAAAGCCTACCAGGGACTCATCCATCAAACCCTCCTCAACCTCTCAACTGCGGCCCCGGCGCAATCCAAGGTGAGCTTCATTTCTCGGGTCGCCCAGATCTGCAGGAAGGTCAGAGAAGTTTGCTTACCTGCTTGCTGCTGGCAAGGTGAAGTCTGGGCAAGGTTCAAGGCATCAACTATTATTATTTCTATTATTAGCATTATTCTTATTCCTTTTCTTATTCTTATGATTTTTAGTACATACTATTCTAAGTCTACACTTTGCTCCGACATGTTCCAGCCATCTCCAGCCCCAACTATGTAGAGCCAGCGGCCGACGGTCCTGCGGAAGATGCTCCACCTGCCATTGAATCAACAAAATGCATCAACAGATCAGCCCAAGGCCGTTTAGGGTTTAGGGTTTAGGGTTTAGGGTTTAGGGTTTAGGGTTTAGGGTTTAGGGTTTAGGGTTTAGGGTTTAGGTTTAGGGTTTAGGGTTTCTCCCAAGGTTGGGCCACCGCTGAGCCTGTCCATCGCGGTGGCCTCTGGCAGCCGGCCGGACGATGTCCGCACAGACTGGCCAGGGCGAACAGAGGCAAAGCAAGGATATGCACCACGCCTACAGCATCTCACCGCAACATGCAGCCACTTTGGCTTGAAGGGCGCAACGGTGGGCCTGCGAAATCATCCGCTCAATGGTCACACTGGCGGTGAGAATGCTGGCGGTTCCAATCCGCGGCACCACCTGATTGAGGCTTGGGTTGGTCTTTATGAATGCGAGTGAGCCTCATTAACACATTGCCGCCTCCCTTGCCATCAACAAGGGTGCTGTTGGATCTTGCTAAGAGTCGTCTACTTCGTTGCCTCTGCAAACAGGGTCACGTTTGTCATGTCGTTTTCATACCTCATATGCAAGGCCAACGCAAGGTTTAGCGGCAATGGGTGGTCTGCTACTATCTGGTTCTGTGGTCGCACGGTTACCGCGCCAGAACTGCGGGCTTAGTATATGTGGCTTAGTCATCGTGTTTGACTAGGGTAACGTGTTCCTCATGCAGCGTTCACATTGATCGTCCTTGCTTGGATCTACATAATGTCATGACATGGAGGCTCAAAATCGTGTGAACGCACCCCAACCCTCAGTGTGGCGCCTGGCCCCCTCTAGGCCTGGGCCATCGGTAAAACTCTGGGGAGGGACTCCGGCGCCAAAACGGGCTTTGGGTGGCTCATTTCCCGAAAGCAGCCCGACCTTCCCTTCCCATCATTAGTGAAACCACATTCGTCGCCCATCAAAAAACTGCTTCGGCGTTGGCGAATGCACGGAACGCGGGCTCATGAGACATGCCCGCATCACTTTCCGCTGGGTCTGCGCACCATGTTTGGCAAAGATCCTTTGCACGGCTAGGACATTGCCTGAGATGAATTGTAGCATTGTCGCGGAGACGACCCAACCTGTGTTTGCGGATCACGGCACGCACTGAAGCATGCACAGGGGTGGTCATCGATGACTCTGAAACTCCATGAGCAGGGCAACGACGCAACTCAGCGATTTCGGATCATGGGGTTCCGTGAGCTGGCTCGCCGCCCGTCCGATTCAGGCGATTCAGCGCACATCAGAAGCCGTACGATTCGGATCACGGCTTTTGGGGGGATTGCGTTTAAGCCACGTGCTCTTCAGGACTTAAGAGCGGCTGATAAGGCGGTGTACAAGCCCTACCCTAAATCCCACAAGCCACGGCCGACGGGGTTCAGGGCTTAGGTCTTTCCAGTCATTGAAAAATAGTGGGGTTTAATTTATAAGAGAACTCAACCATAAGTTATTATTCGGTTTCGGTGCTTGCCCTTACAACCCAAGAATTTAAGGGATTTGCCCCACCCGGATCTAAGCACCGAAACCAAACAGCAACTTGCGCGTTCCCGCCACAATACTTCTGCAGATCGGCGCCGCATGACGCTGCTCTCACCGGATTTTGCAACCATCTCCCTGAGTTGAATTCCTGCCACATCTCACGCTCGTGACCGGGCCCCAAACCAACATACTTAAGAGTTAGTTGGGAACTCATCTCGTGACCACCACTCGCAGTGGCATTCCGTTCAGTACTTGGCCCTCCTACAATGCCCGGCCGGACGCACATGCGTAGCGCGGGCGGAGAGGCTCCGCATGCACAAGGCTTCCATGAGACCCGGATGCTGAGGCTCTCTGTGAATTAACATAATTAACGCATGGATACGCAGTAGCCGTGAGGCTCGCGAGGCTGATGCTCCCTGATGATTTCTGTCGCGAATGCCATGTCCATGGATTGTAGTCGAAAAACATTGAAAGACACACACACACACACACACACACACACACACACACACACACACACACACACACACACACGCGCGCACACGCACACGCACACGCACACGCGCACCCACACACACACACACACACACACACCCTGACAGCTTTACTTAGAAAACTTTTAAACCATGGCCATCGCCTCGGACATGTAAAGCCAGCGCTGCTGCCAGAACATGTTCTGGTTGCAGGTGGTTGCATCTGCCACCATTGCTCCAAGCGCATGCTGGTGGGTGAAGACGAAGAGGTTGTTGTTGTGCAGGCGCTACAAAGTCCAGGGATGGGATGAATGCGCGGGGTCAATACGGTCGTTGTGCTGGCCTGATACGGCGTGCAGTCTGAAATGCGAAGTGATTGGCAGCAGGCTGGTTACAGGCAGCCTATCCCGTAGCTGTGCCATTTGCTTTCAGTTCTCAGCCGAAAGCGCCAAGTCAAAAGGGACGCGGCAACACCATGAACACAAAACGCAGCGGCAAAAGGCACTGCACAGAGCTCACCAGACAAAAAAGGGGGTCATTTGCACAGGTGCCTCTCGACCCGAGATGTTGACCACGGGCCTTAGGAGCTAACGCGCCACAGAGAATTAATTGGAGGTAGATGTGTTTTGCAAGTCTTGGTGCAGCGGCCCTTCATACGAGTAGCTGCAGTAGTGGTCGTATACAAGAGAAACAGAAGCGTGCGCGCGACATTCGAGTTCAATCACACTCGCAGACGCTCGACGAAGGACATGGGATGATTGGGCATGATTGCAAACGCAATGATTACCAATATTGTGATTACTATTATGTTTCTTATTGTTATTGTTATAATTATTATTACTATGATTATTTTGATTTTTATTGTTGTTATTACTACTAGTATTATTAGCAATGACCGTTCTTCTTATTATGGGGACTATTGTCCCAGAGCGGTGCCAGGATGACTTATAGCTTCGGCGCATGTGGCTTCGCTCTGCGTGGCCATGACGAGCGACGATTTGCTAGGACCCAGTACTTGTGTGTGACTGGGTCTGTCGACTGAAGAGTTGCTATGTCGCAAAATCGCAGATTCGAGGAATTCCGGATTCGCTGATAGCCCCCGGGACGCTGTCAGTGCAGCTCTGTCGAAAAGTTACCGACACCTTAAACGAAGATTCCGCCCGGTCAACGCAGCACACTCAAAACCACGCACTATTCATGCGACAGTTCACGAGCCTTGTAGCCGGAAAGCTGACAATACATATCAGCACATCCGGATCAGTGCTGTTTTTCCACCGCCCCCTCTCACGCGTGGCGAACCCAGCTGATCTGCCATTCTGTTGATGACTTCCCCAGGAAAAGAGTTACATTACACTAATAAATCGAGTTCACACTGCCTTGGCCGTGCGGAGCACGGCAGATGGAACAACGAAGTCAGAAGCCACGTCCCCACGGTGACATTTTATATGCGAAGACGACGGTTGTGAGAACCATCAGCACTGCCACAAGCTTGACAAGGACGTCCCACTCCGGCGCAGTCAAGAAGTTCTTACCGGACTCGGGCTCGACGGCTCGCCCATCAAAGAAGGCTGCGCCCAGGAAGGGCTCCTGCTTCTTTGGGGCCTTTGGTGTCTTGGCCTGGGCAGCCTCAGTCTCACGGACCTGCTTCAGCCGTTTCAGCCTCTCCTTAGAAAAAGCTGCCTCGTAGTCCTCACCGGCCGGCGCCTCACCGGCCGGCGCCGCAAAGCAGCGCACCGACCAGCGCTTTTCCGGGCTCAGATTCATCCGATGACTCAGATGGCTCAGGGACTCTGAAAGGGTTGCCATCAGCACAAGCAGCACCAGCGGCGTTTTCAAGCGGCACACGCGACCATGAGAAGGTCTTCTCGTGCCCTGGCCGAGGCAGAAAGCCATGGCTAGATCCGTCTCAGAGGCTCTCAGCAAGGAGGCAAGAACCTAACTTCCCCATATTTCCCCAAGGGCACTCCGAGGGTAATCTACAGGCGCTGTAAAGTGAGTCGATACGATACCCAATCGATACCGGGGCTCTCCAAGCTCCCTTTTTGTGAGTATTGCACACTGATTTGACACTGGTTGCACACCTTGCTGAATGGCTCGTCGCAGCTAAACAATGCCAGTTCTTCAGTTTTGCACTTCTCTTGCATGGCTGCCTAATGGGCCATGTTGCTGAGCAAAATTGTGCAAACATGTACGGGAAGCTGCTTGGATATCCAACGTTGGCCCATGCTTGAAGGTCCGACTGCGGAAAGAGACCAAGGGCATGCAGCGCCATGAGTGCTTCAGGGCACAATGGACTGCATTGGTGCATCGAAGTGGCTCGTAGTCTGTACATCGACCTTTCCTGAGGCAGAAGCCACATAGAGAGACAGACCGATGGGCAAGTTGAAAAAATGACCCGAGGCCTGAAAGTGACGTGAGCTCCGCGAACGGCCGAACTACCTCCACAGGAGACCGAAGACAGTATTTTGCAGAAGCGGCGATCTGGTCAAGAAAGCGTTTAAACTGTCAATCCGCGTATAGACTTGAACTACAAGTAGCATATAGGTGCAAGGTCTGCGGAATGTCTGCATGCAAGATGCCGGCACTCTGGTGTCGCCCACGGCCAAACTCGATGCGTGCATGGTCAAGCACCTTGCTCCCAGATGCCAGCTCAGATGGATTGCAGCGACGCTGGGCTTATTTCATGCGCTGCGGTTTTTTTCTCAGCTTTTTTCCCTGAGGAGGCAGCGAAATCGAAGTCTGGGTCTGCCTCTTCTGTCCTGGCACAAGAGTCAACAGTTCAACGTTGATTCTGCCACAGAACACATCCTTTCCAATTTAGGGTGTTGAAACCGAAGCTCCTTCCCCAAACCTTAAAAAGGCTATCTTTTCCCTAACTCCAAGATCCTAAACAACACACCTGTACCCCACATTCACCATTCAGTGCCACTCCCAAAAGCAGCACCACATGCCGGCTGGGCTTTTGCTTCTTGGTCTTGGTCCTCAGGTGCCTGGCAGCCACACACTAGCAGGGAGCAAGGAGGTTGCTGCATGTTGCAGAGCTGAGTGCATTGTGACAGTTTTGCTTGAGCGGGCAGTTCGTAAAGCCAGAGCTGCGCTTTGCAGGTAGTCCCGCAGAGAGTCCTCCTGGAGGGTTTGCAAGATCCGCACGACATGGCTCCCCTGGCCAGCCCGAAGGCAGGCACGCAACGACATGTCGAAGGCAACGTCATTGACAGGCCGGTGCAGGCGGCAACCTTCGAGCAAGAGCAAGGCCCCTGTCCAGCAGGAACCCTGCGCGCAAGCGCTGATGGCCACGGCATAGGCGATCACATCCAGCTTGACATCATGCTCGACAACAGTTGCCAGCAATGCTAAGCAGTCCTGCCAACGACTGCCTTTCTCATGGGCGCTGATGGCTGCGCTGAACGTGACGACATCTCCTTGAACAGCCATGTCATGCATTTGCTGTAACAGCTTGGCGGAACAGAACCATTGACTCCCTTTCTCGCATGCGCTGATGGCTGCGTTGAATGCAATGACGTCTGCCTGCCCTCCTTTCAGGATCAGTTCCGACAACAGGCTGAGCGCAAGGCTCCACTGTTCAGCCTTCTCACACGCACTGATGACGGCACCATACACAATCACGTCTTGTCGAAGCCGCATCTGATTCATCCTGGATAACAAAGACAATGCATGCTGCCACCTCCCACGGTTTTCGCATGCACTGATTGTCGCACCATAGACAATCTCATTTGCACGGATATCCTGTGCCTGAAGTGCCATGAGTAAGAACAATGCATACTGCCACTGCGCAGCTCTTGCGCAAGCAGAGACTGCTGAACTGCATGATACTTGTGTCCTTTCAAGACCAGCTTGGTCAAGACCATGTAACAGAGACAGCGCTAATTGCCACTGCCCACCTCGGCCGCAAGCAGCCATCGCTGCATTATATGTGATCACGGTCAGCTGAGTGTGCTGTTCGAGGTCCGCCAACAGCGCAATGGCATGCTGCCATTGATTGCCCTTTTCCAGCGAGCTCATGGTTGCGTTGTACGTGATGACATCACTCGAAACGGAAGCATCTCGCATGTCTGAAAGGCAGAGCACGGCATGTTGCCACTGCCCACCCTTCTCACAAGCAGAAATGGCAGCATTGTACACAATCACATCAGGTTCCACGTCCTGTTTCTGCAGCCTCTCGAGCAGTCCAAGAGCATGTTGCCACCTGCCGACCCTGACGCATGTGCTTATCACAGCCGTGTACGTGATTACGTCCGGCTGCGTGTTCTCCTCCAACTGTGACAGCAAAGCCAGGGCCTTCTGCCAGTCCCGTCGACATGCGCTAATCGCGGCCGTGCACTGCCCGCAACTCCAAGCAGTCGCCCGAGGCTCCCGAGGCTCTGAGCCCGCACGCAAGCACTTCGCAGTGCCTGTGCCATGCATATCTTGCGCCTTGAGCATCTTGAGATATCTTGAGCCTTCCTGCAAAGGTTAATCCAAAATCTGAAGGAAATGTTGAGTTCAGCAGGTGCAGCACCACCTTTTCCGACATTTCCATGCTCCATCACGACTCCATCATGACTCCAGTGGCCACGGTCGTTACTTGCAGCAAGCCAGCGAGAGCGCTCTCGCCAGCTCAGACTGCCATGATGCATTGCAGGCACCTCATGACACCTCGTCATGCGCGAGCACACGCATCTGTGGAGAGCTAGTCCAAAGAGTCCATGAACGTCCTGCAAGCTGAGAATTGACTGGCCACATATCAAAACAGGACATGTCGAGTCGGATGTGTCGGGCTTTTACAATTCCACCGAGGCTTAAGCCCCAAACCTGAGGCCTTCGAGGAAAAGGAAGTACCCACTTTGGCAGAAGTGGCCACCCCACTTTTGGTCCGACCCCAGCCATGCCAAAAACCCGAATGCATATTTGCGAGACACGTTGATCTCAATTTCATCTCAGATTAATTACGCGCGCAATTCGCACGACTCTTGGAACTCAGAATAAGAATCTCTCTTCTTTCTGCTTCTCCACGCTTAGGAGGACCCCCGAAAGGAGGCCCCCGGCCGCGACGGCCGAGCGCTTCATCACTCACTCTCTCGCTCCCTCCCTCTCTCTCTTTCGCTCTCTGCTTTGAGTTCGAGCCGCAGCATGGGAGTTGGGAGCATGACTCTGTTACTTGTCCACACAGACCTAACGTGCATAGGAGAACATACAAGCGAAACTACACTGCCAAGGGCGACGGGCTGGCTTGCTCCGAAACAAACCACAGATACGCAGCAGATGGAAGGCGAATGCCACCTGTAAAACACTATCTGCTGGCAGCGAAGCCAATGACAATGACTGGAGCCAACAGCGCGCGGCACGCAGTAAAGTACAGCTGAAGAAGCGCTTTGCGAGCACGTGCGTTGCAGCGAAGCCAATGACAAGCGGCAAATGTCGGAAGCGGAGCTAACAGAATGCAGCTGCCAAGACACCGCACCACGGTGGAATCCGCAACTACATGCAACTACATCTGCTTGACAATTGCCAAGATCGTGGCCCCATCCCCATAGCTGTCACGACTTGGGACGCCAAGAAGATCCGAGGGTCTAAAAAAGAGGACAGCTACGGGGATCACAACTTAGAAGTGGCAGGGACCCTCGCACTGTGACTAACTGTCAGCACGTTTGGGGCGTAAGGAAGATACCAGGAGCCAAGAGCGACGACAGTTACAAGGATCGACGACAGTTAGAAGGATCGCGAACGCCAGGGGCCCCATCCCTGAAGACGCGATAACAAGCAAGGGTCCAAAAGCGACGAAGTTACAAGTTGTTCTCAGGATGGTGCCCTTGGCTGAGAGCTTTGGAAACCTTAATTTGGGTTCAAGGTCTATCGAGGTTTCGGCTTCACACCCTTGCATAAAGGCTTCCGGGGTTGTAGGCTTCATCACATAGGAAAGCCGCTCAAAGCACCAAGCCCACATCAGATTGACCGCTTAAAGTTACGGGTCTGAGCACGATTCGGCCGTGGCCGTGCGGTGGTGGGGCTTAGGGTTTAGGGTTTTGGGTTTTAGGGTTGCTCTGTATAGCAGCAGTGATGGGCCAATGCGGGTGGGCAGATCTGCTCCTGGTGTGGCTAAGCTGGCTCTGCTCCTCCGCTTTCGCCAGCGGATCCTGAAGGGGGGAAGGCTCTTACATGCCGTAACGTGTTCTTGGCTGTGCCTTGCAATTTTTCACTACTGCAGCCAAGGAGCCTTTATGATGTTTGGGTCCCAATTTTCCTCGGCAGGTCGCCTCGTACACCTGTCAGTACCTAGGGCCGATGGCAAGCTTGTGTCTTGGCGCTGGGACGGGCCAAGATGTATCCAAGATGCTCGCAGCCTCCTTCGACGGCTGAGAGGCTTCTCTCCTTCAGGCATGTGAGCCATGTGCGCGACTCTGAGCGTGTAGATCAAAGTGTAGATGATGCAAATCACCCGTTGAAAAGGAGGCACCTGTCCAGAGTCGGCGGGTGCTGGGCATAATGCCGCATTCGCCTGGGCTGGATGCCTATATGGGCTCGAACCGAAGAACCAAGAAAGATTCGCCAACGATCAGAATATCTTGCAAGAGCCGAATCAAAAGACCCCACTGCGAACTGTACTTGATTCGAGTACCCCTATACGCGGTGACGACCAAGTCGCCGTGTCATCTCATGAGCCTCACCCCAGCCCAGGCGGTGCGCCTCAAAACAGTCTTAGACTTATTCAGGGACTACATGACTACAGCCACACTTTGCGGCAAAGCACAAAACTACACAGCGTGGTGGAGCCAGAGGGCAAAATTTGTGAATCAGCGTGCCTCGTAAGACAGGTGTGCCCAGTACTGTACCTCCAGCTCTTCACCCGCTAGCAAGGCCAGCTCGAAGCCTCAAGCCAAGAGCTACCACAGCGCCGAAAGCACGGCATGACATCAGCTGGCTGGTTCTTCCGAGGGAAACGGGAGAACGAGGTCCTAATGTATCCTACAGAATCCCTGAAAAGGGTATATACTTAGGGCCCAAATTCTCCCATTTCCCTACAAAAAACCAGGGGGCCAAAGGACACTCTTTACTAGCCCCAGCGGCCATCATTGCAAACTTGGGCCACGGTCCGCGGCGCGCTGATGCCCTCCTGAAGAAACACTGACATGGTGAGCTCTCTAAATTAGGGTCCCTTTTTGAGTACCCTAGACAAGAGGGGCCGCCTTCTAATAAGGACCCCAAAACTAAAAGGGACCATAGTAAAGCGGCTTCAGGTGCAGACCTTGCCCATGAGCTCCAGCATCTCCTCAGCCTGTGCAACACAGCGGTTTTCGTTTTGCCTTGTGGGGGTTTACGATAATAAGGGGCCCCAAATATAGACCCCCAAATAGTAGGATCCCCTTATAAGATAGGACCCCAAAAAGGCAACCCTAACTATCGTAATCCCCTGTGTGGTCGAGGGATATGAGAGGCCGAGGTGCCCATTGGAGCCCTTGCTTTGGATCAGCACGGCACTGGAGGATCTTCTCTCCAAGCTGCGTCAGCCGCTGCCGCTGCTGATCGGACCTGACTCAGAGCAGTTTAACACCACGGCTACGTCCACCCCACGGCTACGCTGCCCACAGAGCTGCGGGATGATTTCCGTGTCTGACACTGTGGCCCCAGCTCAGGTGAGGCAGCTATGCACATCGCGCAATGGCAGTCGAAACGAAAACCAATACGCAGTTGCTCCTCGCATGGTCGAGAACAAGGTTGGCATACTCTGATTTCAGTCGGCAATGTCCGAGCTGCATGTCCGCCACACCACAACATTGCACACAGAAGCTGGCAGAGGGCTTCGATTGTTCCATCTTAGTTGTCTTAGTTTTCTTCCAGTGACGCACTTAGGCGGCGGGGCCAAGTGTGGCCAACCCTTGCACTGAGAGCGCCCACGTGTGCGCGGCCGCTTTCTCTCGTCTTCTCTCCCTCTTTCCGCAGCATTCCGCAGCTTCAGGCTTGGAACCGTCAACTTGGGACCTAAAACCCCGAA